CTAATTTAATGCTCGGTTGTATTCACTTGGCCTGCTCGCCTAGCCAGCAGGATGGCATCAATCGAGACTAAAACAGTACGAACGGAAACGCGAGCATTGTGGGCAGCAATGTTACAAACGTTTGATAGCCTGGCCAATCCAGGTAATCCAGGTAAAGAAAAAACTGCACATCACTTGTTGTTGCTTCAGTTTACTCAGAATTTTGAGATCCCCAAGCTTAAATTCGTTTTTTGACCATTGAGATAATTGTTTTACTAACCTGTAACGTGATGAAGGGTATTAAGCAGAGTTTACACCAACGGTAAGTGCCATATATGGTACAAATGGAGACACTCAACGCTATCAGAATCGCATTCAATACAGCCGCCGAACTTCCGCCGAGCACAACAACCGCAACCAGTCCAACGTATGCAAATGACCAAATCACAGAGACTAGCTTACTGGCACTCTGAAATATTTTCAATCTAATTGTCATATCGCTGTCTGCTGTCAAATCAGACCGGAAAAATGAATGCGGAAGAAAATTCTCACATGAAATGGGAGGATAGCTAGTGAAAAGTGGATGTGCGGGCCTTCTTTTCTTACGCTATTCCATCCATAATATTTTGATCAATTTCATTGTAATCATAAACATTATGAACTGATCACGGTCCAGATCAAATTACAAAATGATCGTTGCGTCCAGCAAATGTGCTCATCATCAGTGTGGAACGCAGCTGGGCAAACAAGCAAAGCTCTCAAGAAATCTCAAAATAAGCCAAAGGCAGCCAACCAACCACTAACCGTAATATGCAAACGTTGAAAGCAGCAAAAGAATTTGTTTGAATCTGGAAAAATTGGCAGTACGATTGTTTTAGTGTACACTTTCGATGACAGTTCTTCGGAATCGTCGGTTGTTTCAGTCGACTGCGATGGAATAATGTCTGGTTGAAGGCCGTTAGCAACCATTCCTTTCACGAGTTATTCGCCGCATTCAGCTGAAGTGACTACTAGTTCGCGTTATGTGCACACTAATCCATTCAGTCTCAAATTTTCACTGGTCTTCGCTCAGTTATTTGCACACATTGAAACGGGGAAACGAAAATCGAGAAAGTAAAACATTGAGGAAATGAAGAGATGTGTCATACATAATGTGTTGTTGACGTGCGAATATTAGCGAGAGTCATACAATTAGCGCCTGATGAACTAATATCTAATTATCACCATTTTTGAATCGAACTTCTCACTTTTTATTCAAGCACACAGTGAATCAACTGAACACATTTCTGCACGTAAACAAATGGAATATCTGAATATATCCGTAATTCTACGCTTCGTTCCCATGGAACAGGCACGCAAATTTGTGCGAATCAACCAAACGACAAATAAAGTTATATTCACCCATTGGATCATATCAACTCGTCGAGATTGAAATTAACAGTCACATTCTATAATGCAGTAAAGTAATCTAATGATATCCGAAGCTGGCATGTTAGAACATGGCATTATATTTGGTTCAATGAGGTTTGAAGGGCTCAGCGTTTGAGAATGAGAATAAAGTTTGAGTGGTTATGACATGTTATGACGTTATGACATCGACAAAAATATATTCCGATACGAAAGAAAGACATAATTTCATCGTTTCTACAACATCAAGCGGAAAACTCTTATGAAAAATTGCTGAACGTCTATTGTTCGCAATGAAAGTGAAAGGAAGAGGAGGTGGAAAGCCGTCATTGCTTTATCAAGCGAATTGAAATCAGCGATGTTCACAGGATTACATCGTACTTATCGATAAAGTACAGCGAAGTTTTTAATGATTTTGTTAAAGGCTGAAATGAAACGTGTGAATATTAAATTAGAAAAAACGATTGGAGAATTGAATTGAGATGAAAGGACTCCGATAAAGTAATGAACCAGTAAATAATTAAGCGAAGAATTTTCGAAATAGATTAAAGTAGTTGGAAATTGAATTCAAATAATGCCTAGCATTGTTATTACTGAATTCAACGTATACTCGCGATTCCACACTTTTAAATTGGAATAATTTTGACATTGAGTGATAGGTAGGTATATGCCGTTGAGTTCGCCAGCCAAAACAGTGTCTCGTATT